AGGAGAGAGTTCAGCCAGGAAGGTGGGCGTCCGTCCCTTAAGACTTGGACTAGAGGGTTTCGGGCGAAACCCGTTTAACCCCCTCGCAGGGATGGAAGAAAAGTAATGGGTGTGGGTGCGGGCGAGCAGGTGGGCCAGGGTGTGCACCAGGGGGGTGGCCTCCCGAGGTCCTCTCTAGATGAGCCACCGGGGCGAGGCACAGCGGCACTGCCGGGACGTCCTCGGGAGGGGCTGCCCTCTCCCCTTTGCACACCTGGCCGGGGAGGAGCCCGGCTGGGGCGGCGCCACCCTGCCCCGGCCACGCTGCCTGCCCTGGGGGCTCACTTTCCATTTTTCCCCTCTTCCGGGATGAAGCCGGTCCCACTTCCCAAACTCCGCAAACCGAGGTCTCAAAACCTTTAGCACCTTCCCGATACCGGCTTCCCTGCTAGTGTGATGGTTCGACGAGGGAGAGTAGGTGTTGAGTCCCACTTCGTAGGAGAGAAAGTGGAAACCAGGAAAGACTGCGGGGTGGACTTAGCAAGTTAGCAGCAGGGAGCCACTCTTGGGCTCGGGCTTTCCTGCTGGATTTACTCACCTGTGGCAAAGAAGGGCAGCCTTTCTGGGCCCAGCCCCAGGCCTGTGCCTCCAGTCTGCCCTTTCCCCCTTATCCTCTGGCCTGAGAGACTGGGCTCCCGTGTTTCCCCATCTCCCCACTTCCCTCGCGCCCGCCCCCCCCCCACGCTCCCCCCACCACGTCCTACCCCGCCCCCAGCTGAGAGAGTGCATGCATTCATGAGAATTACGGACAGTGAATTTGGACCGCTTCCTGATTTCTGGATGCTGTGGGTTTAGACTGACGGAAATTTTCCCCAGGAGGGGTAACCTTTCTGCCGCTCTCAGGTGGAGGGCTCAGGACACCGACCTACCCCTGCCCTCCTCCCCAACACCTGCTCTGGCTTCTTGTGCCCCCACCATGGATTCCAAGACTGCCTCTATTTTTCCAGGGTTGAATTGATGATACCTATTTTATAGGGCTGGTATACAGTAATTACTCAATAAAAGTCTGCTACTGTTGGCATCCTTAGCTAGCACGTGGGGTAAGCTGGCTGCCCTCTTTAGCGGCACACAAGTCTTTGGCATGCATTTAAATCTGTCCCAGCAACTTCATTTCCCTCTGTGCCTTAGTTATTACATCTGTGAAATAGGAACAGTGTTACTAGTAACCCTAGGTTGTGTAAGAATGAAACCAGTTTTATGCACGATTTAACATTTAACCCTCTATGTTCCTTAGATGTCTGATGGGTGTCAATAGCTCCTTCCACACTGGGCTTGGGGAAAGGGCTCGATGGGATAGTGCTTGGCATAGCAGGTGATGAATGTTGACATCTGAAATAGTTAACCAATAGCCCCTCTTTTTAGGGCAGCCACTAATGAGAAAGGGGGATGAAGGGAGGGACCTCTGCTGGCCCTACCTATCCTGTATTCCACCAAGGTACCCTATTCCTTTCAGTTAGGAAAGCTTTTCCAAATCCTTCCAAAGCTTTTCCAACTCCTGTTGGGAGTTGGCAGGAAGGAACGCCTTTGTTACTTTTTGAAAGGAGCCAGGGTTTTTGACGGGTTGGGGCCGCTTTTACCATCCGTCCCCCAAAAGTTTGAGGCCTACCTTGGAGGCATAATTGCAGAGCTAAGTGAGATCCTTTACCTTTCCTCCTTGGGGTAAAGAGGGCCAAGACAAAGGGGTTGGGCCTGGCTGCATCATGCGCCTAAAGCGTAGGCATTACCTGCCCCTCCTTCAAACCCTAGGAGGGGAGGAGAGTATCTGGGGGCTGCAGGGGGTGAAAGGGAGGAGCAAGGGAGGTAGGGGTGGGGGAAGTACCTTGCCTTCCTTTCCTTCCTTCAGCCACGTGGGGCCTGCGACCCAACGGTGCCTGTCACCCCTCATTGTAGCCCCAGGGACCCGTTTCCGATTTGGGAAAGTTTTTCCAGGAAAACTTACCTTGTGATTCCTTTGTCTCAGACCAGCTCTCACGCAAGCCATCTTGCTCAGACACCTTTTCCAATTTCATCTGAGGTGGTGCATTTTATTATTTTATTTTATTTTATTTTATTTTATTTTATTTTTATGGTTTTAATTTTATTTTTGAGAGAAAGTGAGAGCTGGGGAGGGGCAGAAAGAGGGAGACAGAGGATCCAAAGCAGGCTCTGCACTGTTAATGTAGAACCCAATGCAGGGCCTCGAACCCATCAACTTTGAGATCATGACCTGAGCCCAAGTGGGACGCTTGCTTAACTGACTGAGCCACCCTGGGCTAGTCCATTTTAAATCTCTAACTCCTCCTGGGTCCTATATCATGACAAATGCCCCCACCTTCCTCCAGCACTTGATAGGTACAGGGCCTCAGCTCTGGCCCGTTCTTGTGAGTTATTTTTTAATTGTGAATTCAGGTTGCTGGATCAGAGAAGTGCAGAATTCCTCATTGCATTTTCAGACCATTCTTATCTTTGCAAAGTGAGGGGCTGATTTGTCTAACTTTTTGTGGGGGCTGATCTCATCAGATCCCTTTTGTAGCTGATGGGACCAGGGGTTATGGGCACTGACCCCTCTGCCTCCACGCACTGGAAAATCCATGTATAACTTGACTCCTCCAAAACTTAATGGCCTACTGTTGATGGGAAACCTTACTGAGAACATAAACAGTCTATTAACACATACTTTGTATGTTACATGTATTGTATAATTTATTCTTCCAATAATACCTAACTTAAGTTTTTTCGGGGCACCTAGGTGGCTCAGTTGCTTAAGTGTTAGACTTCGGCTCAGGTCACCATCTACTGTGGCACAGAGCCTGCTCTGGATCCTCTGTCCCCCCCCCTGCCCCTCCCCCACTGTCCTTTCTGTCTCTTAAAATGAATAAATGTAAAAAATTTAATTTTTTCCCTAGTATTGCTAGGTTATGCAGTTAAATCTTTTTTTTTCTTCAAATTGTTGTACATTTACAAACTTTTTTTCAATATATTTCTTGAAAAAAATCAGCATATATGACACCTTTAGTTCAAGCCCACATTTTTCAGGGTCAACTGTATTGTAAAAAAGCCTGTTATCCATTGGGTCATATTATTAGTCTGAGGCAATAAAGGGGCCTGGGCATTAGAATCAAGTCTGGATTTATATACCTGTTCACTCCATTTATAAGTCACTGGCTTGAGCCTCAATTTCTCCATCTGTAAAATAGTCCAAGAATGGTTGGCTAATTGCAGGGGATGTTTAAGTCTGTTGAGTTGCTATAGCTTAAAAAATTGAGTAAATGTTGCATGTTACGGGGGCCCCTGGATGGCTCAGTTGGAAGAACATGCGGCTCTTAATCTCGGTTTGTGAGTTTAAGGCCCATGTTGGGTGTAGACACTACTTAAAAAATAAACTTGAAAAAATGCACGTTATGTAGTAAACACTCAAATATTGGCAAGTGGTTATTCTTTACTCCAGAAGGGAAACACAGTCCCAGTTCGCACAGTCTCCTCAGTTTTCTTCCAGGGAATAAGCAAAGATTTAGGAGGACCTGTTTTGTGTAGGGAATGGAAGTACTTCAAAAAATGCTTCATACAAGTGAAAATCAAATTTACCGTCTTCAGATGCCAAGAAGAAACTAGTCATCACCTGTACTTTCACAATGCCAAGGTAATCAACGTTTTGCTTTTATTTGGGGGCCTCCATTTCTATGTAGATAGGACCAGGAGGCCTTTCTAAGGGACCTGGATCCAAGGAGTACAGACTGGCAAGGAAAGGCGGCTCAATTGGTGAAGCCTTAGAGGGCACTGTGGTCACCATTGGGGCTGGCCTTTGCAAGCAGATGGAGAATAGTTTTGGGGATCAGGGGGAACAGAGTCTCTGGAATCTGCCACCATTGGCTTCTGTTTGTTTTTTTTTTAATTTTGTTTTTATTATTAGCTTGCCTGGTCAAAGTTGCCTGTGACTCACCCACAGAGATTTCATTCATTAAAACTGTGGTCTGTGGGCTCTGCCCTAGCTCAAACCCCTGTGTGCCCTCTACCTTCTCTCTGTCTGCTTTAGTTCTGTGACTCAGGGATCAAACTCAACTTTTGCAGAAAATTGTCTTTTTATAGCCTTTGAAATGTGTGAAGAGCGGTAGCCATAGAAAGACTACAGGAGATTTAGAAATGCGCTTTCAAAAATGACCAAGAATTGATGGGTGGGAGAGTAAACAGTTGTCAGTGGATAAAGGTTCTTAACCAATACATTTCCTTTTGGGGGCAGGTGGATACTGAGTAGGTATGGGATGGGAAGAGGCCCAAGGTGGCTGGGGGCTCCTAAGGTTGAGGGAATACATTTCTTGGATCATCACCTCCCTAGTTTTTTTTCTCCTCTCATTCTATAACTCTTAAGTCTCCTGGCCTGGTGGAATTTTCTTGGACCATTTGTTCTTATGTTCTGCTTTTTGGGAGATGGTCCTCAGCTTCCAAGCCCTAATATTTTAATTTTTGTCTTTTGTTTTGAAGTGTTCTTGTCCCAGAAATTCCATGTGTAATGGAGTCCTCATCCATCTTTTATCTCCCTGAGAGTATTGTTCTCTGTTTAGTGCTCATTCCAATATTTGTTTCTGAGGGTTTTTTTTTCTGTTTACTTTTTCTTTTCTTTTTTTTTAAAGGCTTTTTTTTTTAATGTTTATTATTTTTGAGTGAGAGGCAGAGACAGAGCAAGCGGGGGAGGGACAGAGAGAGGGAGACACAGAATCCAAAGTAGGCTCTAGGATCTGAGCTGTCAGCACAGAGCCCGACCCGGGACTCCAACTCACTACAAGATCATGACCTGAGCAGAAGTTGGACACTTAACCCACTGAGCCACCCAGGCACCCCTTTTCTCTTCTCTTCTCCCCTCTCCTCTTTTCTCCTTTGTGAGAGTGCAGGCGGGGAAGAGGCCGAGAGAGAGAGGGAGACAGAGGATCTGAAGCGGACTCTGCTGACAGCAGCGAGCCCAGTGTGGGGCTTGAACTCCAGAAACGCAAGATCATGACCTGAGCAGAAGCCAGGTGCTCAACCGACTGAGCCACCCAGGTGCCCCTACAGTTTTCATTTTTAATATTTAAGTTTTGAGCTTGATCTTCATGATTGAGAAGGACGAAAGTCATCTGAGACTTGAACTGGAGCATTTATTTCTCTGGGACAATGACTTGCACATCCCTATGGGTCTCCCCAAATAGAAATGATGTTCTCTGCCCTTGGGTCTGTCACCAGAGGAGAGGGATCTCCTAGTGTCCTGCCTGAGAGGCACAGGCCTGGCTGCAGAGAATGTGGCTCTCAGTCTCAGGGATCCTGTGTAAGCCTCTGGCTGGAGGAGGAGCATGGCCTACAGAACAGGCTGACCCAGGGGGATACCAAAATATTTCTTTACCATCCACCCTACAGTCCCATCTTCTGAGGCTAATTGGGTCTATTCCTAAGCAGCATTTGTTTGCTGTTGGAAGTGGACACACTTGGGCCACAGCTGGGGCTGGAACCCAGGCTTCCAGCTTTAGGAGAAGGGACGATGCTTTCTCGGTCAGTTGGTGTTCCCAGCAGCCAGCACAGTGCTGGGCCCCTGGCTCCATGAATGTGCGCTGTTCGGCTTGACTGAAGCATTGCTCTGCCTGAGTTTTGTGGCTGCAGCACTAGAATCTAGAGGAGAGAGGAGCAGAAAGAAGCAGAAGGAAGCTGGCTCACCCGGGATGTGGTGAGAAACAGAGTATTAACTAGGCTAGAAGCCTGAACAGGCAGGTGCTGTGACAAAGATCTTCTGGGTCATTCCGGGTTATGCAAGAGGCAGTGTGCGACACTGGGTGGAAGGGTTTGGAAAACTCTGAGCAAATCTGCATAGAGGTGTGGGCAAAACCTGTCCTGTTGTGCTCTTGAAAAAGGGTCTTAATTATATTGGGAGAGCAGTGTAGATTTTGGGGTGAACCAGCCTTGTTATTGTCTCCTCCACCACCTGGCTTTGTCCTACCACCCTCTCCTGAACCAGCTGTGGGCTCCGTGAGGATGGGCTGTTGGCCGTTGTCTGTCTGCCTGTGCTTCTCAGTGCCGAGCATGGCTCCTGAAGCCCGGGGGAGCTCCTGTCTGATGCTTGTAGGAGAGTGGCCTTTGCCAGCATGCTGATCTGTCTTGGGAAGTTCTGTGTAAGCGCCGGACAGAGTGATTGCTCAATATTAAGCTTGATTGTCGCCATTACCTAAGGCCACACAGCTAGCAGGGAGTAGAATGTGGATGGCGATGCTGTTGCATTTCTTTGAGACCTTTGTCCCCACCTGGCTTGGACCCACAGAACTGGCAGGATGCACAGATGTGTCTGGTTAAGATACTCAGGAGTGCCCGCTACAGCCCGCTCTTTGCCTGCAGGCCTGCTTCACCACTGTTGAGACTGGCAGACCCTTGCCCATACCAGGTAATTGTAGCTAGTTTTTGAAAAAAGTGGTTTATGTGGGACATAGGCTTTTTTTTTTTTAAATGTTTATTTTTGTCAGAGAGCAAGCAGTGCCTGCACAGGAGGGGCAGAGAGGGAGACAGAGGATCCAAAGCTAGCTCTGAGCTGAGAGCAGAGAGCTGGACACGGGGCTTGAGCTCATGAACCCTGAGATGATAACTTGAGCTGAGGTCAGTTGCTCAACTGACTGAGCCACCCAGGCACCCCTAAAATTTCTTTTAATGTTTATTTTTGAGAGAGAGAGAGGCAGAGTCGGAGTGGGGAAGGGGCCGAGAGCAAGGGAGACACAGAATCTGAAGCAGGCTCCAGGCTCCAAGTATCAGCGCAGAGGCCTATGGGGGCTTGAACTAGTGAACCACGAGATCATGACCCGAGCTGAAGTGGGAGGCTTAACTGACTGAGCCACCCAGGCGCCCCTATACTTTTTTTCTTGTGCAGAGAACTTTTAAGGTTTGCTGTCTTAGCAACTTTCAAACATACAATATAATATTTTAGTTGCTGTGCTGTATATTACTTCCCAGGGATTTATTTGTACCTTTTGACCATCTTTAAGTCATCTCTACACCAAACATGGGGCTCAAATTCACAACCCTGAAATCAGGAGGCACATACTCTTCTGACTGAGCCAGCCAGGTGCTCCCAAAATTTTGTCTTACAAAATATACTAAAAGAATACATACATACATACATGCATGCATACATACACACAACACACACACACATAAATATTAGGACTTTCTGATTATGGTAGCAGTAATCTGTAAGTCCTCCCATGTTGAATCAACTAGAAATGCTGTGTAAATTTATTTGTGTGCAGAGCTAAGCTCCCTAGAAAAATCCCCTGGGGACTAACTAGAAGAGGGAACCAGAAATAAGAAAATGTAAACTAAGGGATGTACAAGACCTTTAGGGAGAAAACTGGCAAAAATTTTCGGTAAGGTTGGCAGGCTTGCCCTAGCATAGGAGCACTTATTAGTAAAGCTACGATGATTAAAAGGGGTGGCAAGGGATAAATGCCAAAGGGAAAAGTCAGTCCAGAAACATCCTACATACATGGGGGGAGCTTTATAAAAGAAGAGGAGTTGGGACATGCTTGTCATTACGTGTGTTTGGCTTTCCTTATAGGGAAAAATGAGATCCCTACCTCATACCATACACAAGTAAATTTAGATTGTTTAAACTTGAATGGCCATTTTCGTTAGAGTTTTTTTGTTTTTTTTGAGAGAGAGAGCACAACAAGGGAGAGGAGTAGTGGTTCAGTGGTGGAATGGGGCGGGGGAGAGAGAGAGAGAGAGAGAATATATCCCAAGCTGGCTCTTTGCCCAGTGTGGAGCCCGATACTGGGCTTGATCCTATGACCCCAGGATCATGACCTGGCTGAAATAGCCAGAAGCTTAACTTAGTGAGTCACCCAGGCGCCCCTTGTATGGCCATTTTCTTTTCTTTTTTTTAATGTTTATTTTTGAGAGACAGAGACAGACAGTGCGAGCAGGGAAGGGGCAGAGAGAGAGAGAGAGAGAGAGAGAGAGAACCGGAAGCAGGCTCCAGGCTGTGAGCTGTCAGCACAGAGCCTGACTTGGTGCTTGAACTCATGAACTGCAAGATGATGACCTGAGCTGAAGTCAGACATGTAACAAACTCAGCCATCCCCTTGAGTGGCCATGTTCAAAGAAAGAAACGTTTCTTGGACAGTATCTGACTGTAAAAGTAACATGAGCATATGGTAGTTCACTCACAAACTACCCTCCCAGGAGACCTGACTTTTTACAGTTAGAGAACAAAATGCTGGAGGAACATGGCTTAATGCATATGCTAGCGTATTAACTGAGACTGCGTTGCACAGACTGTCACTTGACAAAGCTTCATCTTCTCTTCATTCCCTCATTCGTTGCCTCTCACTACCATCCCCCACTATGGCTGCATGGGATTTAGGCAGTCATTTGTTTGGAGCTTTTGCTATGATAAATGGGACAGCAGTGACCATGCTTGCACTCAGGTCTTGGTAAGAGCTTTGGGCTGTGTTGATTTGTAGCAGAAGAGTCCTGTGTAACAGGATATGGAACATTTGGCATTTTTAGGTATTGTCAGTTTGCCATCTCAAAGGCTCACTCTATCCCCATTGCCTCTATAAGAGGACAGTTGAGATTTAAGGCATTGGCTGTGTGGCAGCAGGAGCAGACTACTGTGAGGGGCAGACCCAAGGTGGTGGCTTTATAGAAATTTGGTCTTCACTTATGCCTTAGGGGAGAGGGCAGTGGGCTCTTCTACTCTGGCTTTGCTAAGGGACACATGACTATAGGAGCGAGCACTGCAGCTCCCAGAATCCTTTGCTCCTTTGCTTCCCACCCATCATTGTCAGAGTTAACCATTGGTTTCCGCTCCACATTTGCACACCCTTCCATGGGTTTCCCAAATAATTGTAGGGGAAGGGGGCTGCGTTTGTTTATAGGGTAAAAAGCTTAACTCGAAACTCCGCTTTAAGTTGCCTTTTCTTTGCAGATCTTTCTGTATATTCCTTGTGTTTTCTCTCTTTAGTTTAAGATTTTATTTTTAAGGAATTTCTACACCCAAAGTGGGGCTCAAACTCACAACCCTGAGTTGAAAAGTCACACACTCCACGGACTGAGCCAGCCAGGTGCCCCAGTTTTTTCTTTTTCTGTGAATTATCTATAAGGGTAATGGTATATAATTTAATTCCCATCCACTGAAGAACATCTAGATGTTTGTGAATATTTTGCTAATATGAGCAGTACTGCACGGAACATGTTCCTATAGCCATTTTTTTTTTTTTTGCATTTGTCTAATTTGACCCCTGCTGGGATCAATTATTTTAATAATTCTGATCAATATACCAAAGTTCAGTTTTTACTGTACAATGAAAGTGGTGCTTGCAGCCATGGCCTAGAGGCATGGAGCAGTTGTCCACATTCCTTCTGAATGCCCCAGGATGAAGGGATGCTTTTGTGAGGCAGAGCTGGAAAGTCTGGCAGGATGGCACACGGAAATGTGTAAGCCCCGGGTTCTTCTCAAGGTTTCATCCTCTACGTTGGGGGTCCCTAGCACCAACCACCCAGGGATTTAGGAGAGGTCATCTCATTTCACAAATGATAAAACTGGGGTTTGAGAAAGCCATTGAGGGCTTTTTCATCCCAGCTTTCCGTGGATCTGGTAATTTCTGGAATTTAGCAAAGATTTCCTAAAAGTCAGGTAAAGACCTTGAACTCTGTGACCTCATACTCTGCCACCAGCCAGGTGGGCAGCCTGTTTCCAGCCTCTTAGACTGTTGTACTTATTGTTCCCACTTCCCTCCTTCTCTCTGCTCACCTGGGTGAGGTGTCCCTACCCAGGTTTCACTTTTGTAACTATACTTAGCATATTGGTTTTAAAATGTCTTTGAGATCTGGCTCCTGAGTGAAGTCTAAATCTCTATCACTTAGCTGCTGTGCAAGCCTGGGCAAGGAATCTGCCCATCTGTTACCTCTGAGCTTCAGTTTACTCATCTGCAAAATGGGGCATCATAAGAGTAAGCTCTCTCTTTTTTCGGTGAGATACATAGTAATTACTCCATCTCAACTATTTTGTTATCTCCGACAAGGGAAGCAGCTAAGAAAGACTTGGGCGGCTGAGGGGGAGGATACAGGAGTCTAGATTTCCCTCCCAGGGGCTGTGGAGAAGACAAAATTTCTTTAAAAGGTGAATGGGAATATCTTTCAACCTCCCTTTTACTTTGCGTGATCTCTAACCCCTGGGGGGACTCATGTGGGGCAGGGATGCCCAAGTGGCCCCGCCTTCTACCTACTTCTCCATCATGTCCACCATCCTCCCCCCTTCCTGTATTGTGCATTTAATTAATGCAATTAACATTTACAAGATGCTGTGAAATGACTGCTGCTGGTGCCAGCCTGGAGGAAGTGAATGACATCACTCCTCAGCCTTATAGCTGGGTCGGGTGGGGGGACGAGTCCCTGAGCCTCCTCCCTGAGTCTAATTGGGGGTGCCACCCACCCTTCTGTCTGCCACATTGCATTTGGACACGTCTGACCTGGTTCAGTTGGGACACAGGCACCCTGCACTAATGAGGCAGAGCCTTGCAGGGAGAACCTTGCGGGTGAGCCCACCCTGTGCTGCTGCCCGCCCCCAAATCATGTGCTGGACCCCAGCTTCTGGGAAAGGGTCAGAGTTCACCATGCATCACGGTGGGTCCTGTCCCTCAGCCCTAAAGTTCCTCACAGTCTCTGGGATGGGTGAGGCAGTGTCCCTAACTAGAATTCTCGGCCGCCGTGTCTTGGCACGGCAGTTATAGGCACGTGCCCTGGACTGCCTAGGCATGAGTCTTGGCATTGCCACCTTGATGGGTGACTTAATTAATTCATCTGAGCCTGTCCAAAGCAGGTTGATAACAGGACCTGCCTCGGGATCTGGTGGGGGCTGAGAGAGCGGTTTGTACCACCTTTAGCTTTTACGGTCAGGACCTGGGCCCTGTTACAACACTGGGGTGGCAAGGCACGGTTGTTCGGTTAGCACAGCAAGTACTCTGGAAAAATCCCTCCGGAAGGTGCCATCTCGTTCAGGGTGGTAACCCAGCCAGGCTATTCTCCAGCGCTAGAAAGATCACACTAGGTAAAGCACTCGGCTTGTCTTGGGGGCCACATTATCCAAGAGGTGGTGGGAAGAGATGACGGTGATTTGTCTCTACCATTCGTTACACGCCGGTCTCTGGTACTAATTTCTTCCTGTTCTCAAGAGCATGTGGTTAAGTTTATGTATTCTTCTCTAACTTTAACTGGACTTGAGCACGTTAACAAGTCACGCTGGTCACGTGTGTATTATGTTGCTTAACAAGTGTGTGTTTTGTTGCTTAATCTGTGCCTCAGTTTGTCCATCTGTAAAATAGGGATACTGTGCACCACATTGAAGGATTAAATGAGTTGATGCAGCTAGAGCACCGAAGAGGGTGTTGCATATAGGGTAGTAAACGCTGAAAGAAAATTACTGTATCTTTAGGTGAGAGGATTTGTGTGCGGAGGGCCAGGTTATTACTTTTTGGAGCAGGAGTATTGGGAGAAGCCTTCCCGACTGTCACGATGTGGTTTTGGAGTCTGAACAACAGGGAGGTATGTGGTAGAGAGAGACGGGGAGGGCTTCCAGGCTGAGGAGGCAGCCGTAGCACATGCCTGGAGGCGCGCTTCATTCATCCTGTGTGTAGAATTGGTCAGGGAGAGGCACTGAGCTGGGCACCTTTCAGCCTGCACAGGTTCTGGATGCCGGTGTGTGTTGTGACAGTAAGACAGCAAGGGAAGTTCATGTCAATGCACATCCGGGGTGATGCAACTCACATAATCGAATTATACATTGGGAGAGGGGGAGTATTTTAAAATAGCTTCCCCGCTGGGGCGCCTGGGTGGCTCAGTCAGTTAAGCCTCTGACTTCAGCTCAGGTCATGAACTCACGGTTCGTGAGTTCGAGTCCCGCGTCCAGCTCTGTGCTGACAGCTCAGCCTGGTGCCCGGTTCCGATTCTGTGCCTCCCTCTCGCTCTGCCCCTCTCCTGCTCATGCTGTGTCTCTTTCTCTCAAAAATAAACTTAAAACAGCTTTCCCGGGCTAGCCCAGGTAGCTGAGGACACTTAGAGCTGGTTGGTGTCCTTCCCTGAACCTTCCTCCAGTCCTCATGTGCCTAGTTTATAGGGGCAGGAGATTTTTCCTGAATGTTGGCATGCGGCTTTGGGAAGGGTGCTCTGCTCACATGTCTGCTTGGTAGACTGGGGGACAGGTTGGCGCTGCTGAGGCCCTGGGGGAAGGCCCGAGGTAGTTAATCATTGTCCGCTCCTGGCTGCAGGCTCCACCTGGGCCTGTCTAGGAGGGAGCCTCCTGACTGACACAGTAAAGGGCCGTCTGAGGGAATCTTGGGCCCTGGATGAGAGGGAAGTAATGGCCCTCAATTTCAGCCTCTGACCTGCTTGTTACCAGCTTCTGACTGGAAGGCCTCACTGCCCTCCCCCCCTCCCCAAGCTTCTGTGTACCCTTTAGTGTCTTACACCCCATGACGCAGACGCCCTCCTGGTGTCAGGCTACCTAGGTTATTTAGTTCACTGGCTTGGCCAAGGGTAAGATGCTGGGAATTAATTATTCCTTGGAACCACACTCCAGCAGTTTTCCTCGGATTTTGGCAGCTTGGCCTCACAGGAACTGGCCGTAGGTCAGCCAACCTGTTCTTCCGGGTCAGGGCTTGGCAGTGAATGGGGGTGAGGAGCAGCTGATCAGACCAGGTCAGGCATTCCTCTGTTTCCGTGGGGCTGGTGAGGTTCCTTAACATGTATCAAGAGAAAACAGACCAAGAAGTGTGGCCCTGTACACCCTGGACCACGTGGGGTAGGTAGATGCCACCATGTGCTATGGATCAGTGTACATTTAGAACCAGAACAATGCTTCTCTAACTTGCACATAATCACCCAGGGGTCTTTCGAACATGTTGGTCTTGACTTAGGAGGTCTAGGGCCAGTGCCTGAGATTTTGCAGCTCTGACCAGCTCCCAGGTGATTCCCAGAGGTGCTGCTCCCTGAGCCTTATGGGAAATACAGCAGGGGTCTAGTTGCCCCATGCCCTGGCCTGGGGGACGGACAGGTGCAGAGGATGGCTTCGGGACCCCAGGGCACACCGCCCATCCACCTGGGGGCGCTGCAGGCCAATTCAGACCGCTCCCCACATCGCCCCCTGGTGGATGTGGTGCCACATCACTATTGCAGTCCACCGCCCTGTAGCCTAGAGGATGTTTCTAGAAGGTACCCCGGGAGGCTAGTGTGCGTCATCTGGTACGGTACGGTACGGTGCGGTGAGTCCCCAAGATGGGGCCCAGGGGTTGGGAGTGCTCAGTGCTGATGAGCAGCCTTTTGTTCAGGAAGCTTTTCCCAAGAGCTCAGGAAGCTTTTTCAGTCCAGAGCAATAGGGTGTGGTGGCAAATACCTCTGGAGTAGTTTGGGGGAAAGTATGGAATGGGTGTCTGGGGGCCTCATCTACTACCTAGGTTCTAGTTTTGCCTTGGTGCCCTACCTCTTAGATGTGATTTTTGGCCTTGGAGACTAATCCTGTCTGTGTGTCAGTTTTCCTTTTCTATAAAATGGGCCCACAATCCCATTAATAGGCGTAAATGAAAGGTGCACGCTCTTGCAGCCAACATCTGTTGAAGACCAGGATGAAGGTCGCACAGCCCTTCAAACCTTCAGCGAGGACCTGGCCTGAGCTGGTCTGAGCTGAATAGCCTGGTGATGATGCAGTTACCAGGACAGGCAGCAGTGGGGAGAAAGGCCCAGAGGTGGGGTGAGGCTGGAGCAGATGGGGAGCATGCCCCTTGTTAACTGCCCCAGTCCTTTGCCTGTGCTCCTCCATCCGTTCCCTTCTTGGGAACTTGGGACTCTGAGCCCCAGCTGGTGAGGGAGGAGGGGAGTGAGCGACAGGCCAGCAGACCAATGGGCCCCTGAGGTTGGGGTGGGGCGGGGCTTGTGCTGCCATGGAGAGGAGAGAAGCTGTTCTGTGGGGGAGGAGGGGGCGGGTGGGAAGAGGACCTGGAGATTGAGGGGAAGGGAGAGAGCAAACAAAGGGGTCAGGAGGGAAAATAATGCACTGGCTTCCTGAGGCCCTGCGGAGGCTGGGCAGGGAGAGGGGGCCAGGGGCAGAGGGGACCAAGGCTGGCTGCAGGCAGACCCGGGCAGGCGGGTCCTAAATGGCATTGTTTGAAGTGGCCGGCTAATTGCACAGAACAGCCTAAGCCTCAGACCACAGCCCAGCCCCCTCCTCTGTCCTGGGTGCTGGTGTCTGAGCCTTCGGGCCGCCTGGCCACATGGAACCAAGTCCTGAGCCTCCGAGTTTGGTGAGGGGGGCAGGCTATGGGGTGGGGGGGGGGGGCAGCCTGGGTGGGGTCCTTGGGTAGGAGTATCACCCGGAGAAATATGTCAAGGGGCCTCCCTTGGCCTGAGGACGTAGAGCCATTGGTGGGAGGTTTGGGGTGTGCTGCCCCCTTGTGCCCTTGTTTCCCTGCTACCCTACCTATTCTGGCCCTCCTGCAGGAAACAATGAAGGGAGACACCAGACAACTCAACAGAGAGGAGGACGCCAGCGGGAGGGAAGACTCCATCATCACTAACGGGGGCTGCAGCGACCAGTCTTCTGACTCCAAGGATGCGCCCTCACCCCCCATCCTGGAGGCTATCAGCACCCCGGAGATCAGAGGTGGCCGGGCTAGCGGGGAGGAGGGGTGGGACAGGCCCTGCAGCTGGGACATGAGCCTCCGAGCAGGCTCGAGGCAGGTTGTGGGGAGAGGCTCTGGTCTCTGACAAGCCCCGCCACATCTCCCAGGAAAGAGAAATGGATGGAGGCAGAGCCCAGCCCGTTTCTCATCCCTGCCCACAGCCCTTGCCCCCCTTCTCCTCTCCCCTCAGCTGGGACTCTGAGGAGGTAACCCCGGGGTGATGACCCCTGTCCTTTTCCAGTCATGATGGGGTTGCGGCATAGCCTGGGGTCTTTGGCTCTTCTGCAGAGGGACCCCTCTCCCCTTGCAGGTGATTATGTGGCGAGAAGACACTTGCCACATATGTGGGGGAGGATCTGAGGCTTGCTTCCTTTGCCATCCTGCCCTCCCTGCCCCTCCCCTCCACAGTTCTGGATCACATCACCTGGGATCCACCCCACTGAGATTTCCTGACCCAGCTGGTTTGGAAACGCCTGTATTGTCCCATCCTGTTGTTGAAATCCTCTAGAGCTGTGCTGTCCAATAGAACACTCTGCGAGGGTGAAGTGTTCTGTTTCGGCGTGGTGCGCTAGAATAGCCACTAGCCACATGCGAGCACTTGAAATGTGGCCGATATGGCAGGCACTGGACTGTTCATTACTTGCAGTTGGTGGCCATAATTCTGGAAGGAAATTGATGCCTTTCCTGCTGAGTACCTTCAGTCATTGTTTTGGGCCCTATTATGTGCCTGGCCCTGTGCCCTGTTGCCTTATGAATACATTGAAGGGAAATCAGATCCTGAGGGGCTCAGTTAACCCTCTGAGGATGCCAGTGGGTCTAGAGAGATCTCTGCCCCCAACCCAGAGAGGAGACTACAGGGGACAGCAGGTCAGCGAGGGAAGACACGGCTGCCCCCTGGCCCGGAGGCTGGCCCTTCCACAAAAGACAAGACCGGTTCTTTTCTCCAGGCCGAAGATCAAGCTCACGACTGTCCAAGAGGGAGGTCTCCAGTCTGCTAAGTTATACTCAGGTATGTGTCCTCATGTCCCTTGTGCAGGATTCGGGAATTCCCTTGAGTGGCATCCAGTAAATACTTGTTGAGTGATGGATTTGAAAACTGCTAAGCACACAGAGGGCTTTGAACAACCTCATGCATGAAGGCATTTTCTGCTACGTGCCAAGTCTTTTTTTTTTTTAATCATAAACATTAATTTTACTCCATTTTAAAGTTTTTTACTAAATGCTTCCCAGCATATTTCTGAAATTCTCATTTTCCCAGTTCGGAGGATCCAATTACATTGATAAAGTTTTAATGTAGTAAAATCGCTCCTTTTATTCCTGGAATGAGCCCAACTTGTTTGTGGTGTGTTTTCAATCTGATTTCCTTTCACATCTATTCATGAATAAAGTGGATGTGTGATTTTTTTTTTTTTTTTTATTTCTTAGAATATATTTGTGTCTGGTTTTGATCTCAGGGTTATGTGGCCTCAAGGATTTTTTTCCCCTCACGTTGGAAAGAACTTGCCTTAGGGGACTTCTAACAATCATTGCAATGTCTTTTAACGGCTGCTGCAAAGTCAAGGTTTCTACTTGATCAATTTTTTTTCCACCTTAGAGTCTTCCCATAATTTTTTTTTATTCCCGACATTTATGCCTTTCTTGTTCTTATTAGTCATAGTAGAGTTGGGTTGTTTTTTTTTTCCAATTTGGTTACTTTTTTGAAAGAGCTGGTGTCCAGCGTTGGGGACAAAGTTACAGACAAGTGTAAATTCACATTCGCACGGCTTCTGTTCTGCTGGAGGGCAACCAGTGGACGCCCAGAGGATGAGCATAAGAATTGTGTGGATGTTTGGGACTGGGTGCTCAGGACACCTGTTTTAGCTCTGGTGGACCATCAGCAGGAGTGGCAATGGAACCTCCGGCCTGAGCATTTCCCCTGAGTCTGGCCTTGAGTGAGGCCTGCGTTGCTTGATTCTCTCTTTTTTTTTTTTTTTTCAACGTTTTTTATTTATTTTTGGGACAGAGAGAGACAGAGCATGAACGGGGGAGGGTCAGAGAGAGGGAGACACAGAATCTGAAACAGGCTCCAGGCTCTGAGCTGTCAGCACAGAGCCCGACGCAGGGCTCGAACTCATGGACCACGAGATCATGACCTGAGCCGAAGTCGGCCGCTTAACCGACTGAGCCACCCAGGCACCCCAGTACTGTTACAGTTTTAAAGAGTGAAATGGACTCACTCAAGGCCTCAAAATTGGCAAGTGAAGTGAAAAAATCAAGTTCTTACTATTACATCCAAAACTCAGGCTGCTTACCAGTGCACAAGTTTTTGGGTTTTGCTGTGCAGCATGGGACATGTTCATTGGTGCCATTTCTTCCTGGTCCTTGTATCAAGAAGCATCTCCTTTGAGCCTTTGATTTCTCCCACTTAATTGTGCAAATTGACCAGCTCTCCCTGTTAGTCCTAGCCAAATCAGTCTCCCCAAGGTGCAGATCCAGATTGCATTCATACTGTGTCTTAGATTTTCTGATTCCACTGTTTTGTGTGTGTGTGTGTGTGTGTTTTTAGTGTGTATTTATTTTTGAGAAGAGGGGGGAGGGGCAGAGAGAGAGGGAGATGGAGAATCTGAAGCAGGCTCCAAGCTCTGAGCTGTCAGCACAGAGCCCGACGTGGGGCTTGAACTCGTGGACCGTGAGATCATGACCTGAGCTGAAGTCAGACACTCAACCGACCGAGCCACCCAGGCGCCCCAGGGGTTTTCTTTTTTGATCATGTCTTGAATTTGTGATCCCCAGGGTAAGCCACTGTAATGTCTTATTGGAACAAAATATTTTGAAAATATTTCCAGGTAACTTGGGCCAGTATTGTTTTCAGTATGATTGACTTTTCATTCTTAAACCGTTTGGGGTTATGTCACCTTTTGATAACATTTAAAGTTCATAATGCTTTCATTCATAAAGGATCTGACAGGTGATGGAGATGGCGAAGGGGAAGACGGGGATGGCTCTGACACCCCAGTGATGCCAAAACTCTTCCGTGAAACCAGGACTCGGTCTGAAAGCCCAGCTGTAAGTCCCCCACTTCCGAGCCCAGGCACTTCCAACCAGACATAGGCCTGCATAAACACACACACACACACACACACACACACACACACACACACACAAAACCAAAAAATGGTCTTGCAGCCTCCAGAGAGAACTTTGGAGAGAGAGGTGAATACATGTTTTGAAAGTGGAGAATGACAGACAGCAAGGCTCACGGATAGTCAGTGAAGGTCTTCTCTCCCGTGGTAGTGTTTCAGGTGTTTCAGCTCTTTTCAGACACTCCTGGCTGCAAGTGCCCGAGACTGCTAGTTTGTAGGTGAATGGCTCAAATGCCTATTCCCTCTGGGACTCATTTCCGTAAGTGGAGTCTGTGACTTAGTGTGTGGTGTGGAAATGGGTAGGCGATCGTTGCTAGTGGCCTCCCACCCCATTAGAGAACAGGCTGACGCTCGAGGACCGTGGCGGGTCTAGTTTACAACCTCCCCCAGAGTATGATGGAGGTCATCCCCATTACAGAGGACAGAAGGATCTGGTAACTAACCCAAGGTTAAACATTGATTCTTGCGTGCAGGATTCGAATACAGGAATTGTGCACCACCCAAGTTCATGCCACTTTGAGAAAGGAGCCTAAGGGCTTCTCATCCAGCTGCTTGATCCACTACCTTCCAGAAGAAGACAACAGTCACTCTAATGCTTTGGGGGGACAAAATGTTTGGTTTGGGGTAAACTGGATGTTATTTTCCATTCAATCTGCAGGTGCCAGTTGCCTCTGACGGGCAGTGCGGGATCTGCTGTGGACCATCGGCAGCCCTGCTGGCACCCTACCCCTTCCCCCAGTAACAGGGGAGTTTCTGGGGGAGATCCTTTCAGCCCAGAGTCCTTCCCTGCTTACCCACCTCTTCACTTCTGGGGACCTCAGGCGACCCCTCAAGTCCGAAACTCCATGCCTGTAGTCACCAAAGGCCTCCTGCTTATCCTCTCTTGCTTCCAGGTCCGAACCCGAAATAACAACAATGCCTCCAGCCGTGAGAGGCACAGGCCCTCCCCACGCTCCACCCGAGGCCGGCAGGGCCGCAGTCACGTGGATGAGTCCCCCGTGGAGTTCTCAGCTACCAGGGTTGGTTCCCCGGACACCCCCAGTCTCTTAAGTGGAAGATCCGCCTCTGTCACTGTGCCACTGAAAGCAGCCGGCGTTTAACCTATATCTGTTCCTCACACTCAGCACCTTTTCAGGGTCTTGCCTTTCCTTTCGCTCCCGGGTGCTGGGTAAGCTTCTCTCCTGGCCTGATTCTGGATGGAACCCTGGTGGAATGTGAGAATTCCCTGTTGACTGGGTTCTTGCTCCTCCTTGGGAATGAGCTCAGCTCCACTGACTCCAGAACTGTTTTGTCTCGCTATTTCTTCGCTGACTGTCTTTTTTTTTTTTTAATTTTTTTTTTTCAACATTTATTTATTTTTTGGGACAGAGAGAGACAGAGCATGAACGGGGGAGGGGCAGAGAGAGAGGGAGACACAGAATCGGAAACAGGCTCCAGGCTCCGAGCCATCAGCCCAGAGCCTGACGCGGGGCTTGAACTCACAGACCGCGAGATCGTGACCTGGCTGAAGTCGGACGCTTAACCGACTGCGCCACCCAGGCGCCCCATTCGCTGACTGTCTTGAGGCAACCCCAGTGGTCACAACAGTTCTCCACTCCTGTTGCAAGGCTCGGCACACAATAAGCATTTAAGGAAACCAGTGGCCCTCTCTGAGCTTGGCTCTGGAGTCTCTAGACATCACTCATGCTTACTCTGCCTTCGTCCTATCTGTCATGATTCTGTCCCTGTTCTGATGGAGGTTGCTTTTTCCCACCACTCAAGGGGTGCTCACTCGTTCCTGGAAAACCATCCTTGGTGGTGTCTGTTCTCAACTTAACACCTTCACGCTTCAGGCTTGCCCGGGATCCAACTGGGGGGACCACCGGTCTCCGGTCACCTGCCTGGTTTGCTGTGGCCCAAGATCTGTGTCCTTCTGTCCACAGTCCCTGAGGCGGCGGACAGTATCCTTGGCAGGCACACCGTGGCCGTCCCCCGCCAGCCCCTACCTCACCATTGACCTCACAGATGATGATGTGATGCCCCAGAGCAGCAGTACCCCCTACGCCCGCCTGGCCCAGGACAGCCAGCAGGAGAGCTTGGAGTCCCCGCAGGTGGACGTGGAGGGGACAGATGCCGACAACACCGAGTATCAGGTACCACTGGGAAGGCCCTACGTAGTAGGGAAGGGCAGCCACTCACCCAGAGGAGCCTACTCCCACGTCTTTTTTTGGTCACATCTATTCTAATATTTGAATTTCTTTTCCATATGCACCAGTCCTTCCTTCACCCTACTTATCTGCCAGATATAATTCAAACACCTAATTGATTTCCCCAACATCACATTTGTACCCCCAAATAAGTGTACCCTGTTTGTACATGCTTCTGTTCGTCCTGTTTTACGTACAATTGGAGACCAGCCATTTTCACTTATTAGGAACTGGAGTTGTCTCACTTTCTTGTCTATAACCCATCTAGTGTAGAGTTCGTAATTAACCAGTTGGGCTCATTTATTTCACTCCAGCATTGCTGCATATATACATACGTGTCTGCATATATCATGTAGATAACCTTTTTTTCTTATGTATATCAGACTATAGGTATATTTTCATAACTTGTTTTCATGGGCATCTCACATTTTATGGTAAGCTTTTTATGTGCAAACGTCCATATATATATATATATATTTTTTTTTTGCATTTCATTGCCTTTGTAATAACCTGTGTAATGGCCTGTGGTGGGAATACCCAGTGATTGTCATTATTTACTCTAATGTTATGTTCTGTGAGTTTTCAGTCGGCAACTTTCATTCCTAGATACTAGGTTAAATGTATTTGTGAAATGTTGTAAGTCTAATATAATCCCATGTTCCTATCAAATAACCAAACTGGTCCCTTATTTTCAAGGGGTTCAAACTCATAGTTTTAATTTTTTTAAAGTAATCCTTGCACCCAATGTGGGGTTCAAACTCACAGCTTCAAGATCAAGCGCCTCTCAGCTGGGCACTTGTTTTTTAATATTTATTTTTGAGAGAGACCCCATAAGAGCATGGGGGAAGAGGCAGGGAGAGGGGGACAGAGGATCTAAAGTGGGCTCCACGCTGACAGCAGAGAGCCTGCGGGGCTCCAAATCACCAGGAGATGGAGATCATGACCTGAGCCGAGGTTGTACCTAGGCTCCCAGGGGCCCCCATGCTGGGCACTTTGGAGGGAGCCCCAAGTTGGTCCCTCAGGCAGTGGCCATTGGGGTCAGTGGGGTGGGCAGGACTTTTCCTTGGCCCAGGCAATCTGTCTCATTGGGATTCTTTTTTGTGGTTCTTCCTTCTAGGATGGGAAGGAGTTTGGAATAGGGGACCTTGTGTGGGGAAAGATCAAGGGCTTCTCCTGGTGGCCTGCTATGGTGGTGTCATGGAAGGCCACCTCTAAGCGACAGGCCATGTCCGGCATGCGGTGGGTCCAGTGGTTTGGTGACGGCAAATTCTCCGAGGTGAGTCCAGTGCAAGGCAGGCTCCCGGGCCACAAACCTGCAGCGTTTCCCTCCCTTCCTTGTACACTTGATGTTTTACGATGCAAGGCCCGTGATTGCTTTCTCCAGATGGATGAGGCTATTTGACTCAGTATGTCTAGGAAGGATAAAAATTTCTTGTTAAATAGCATAAACACATTTAGGGTCTCATGGGGCTTAGAGCTCTGTGTGCTCTTCTAGGAGACAAAAAGCTGGAACGTTCTCTGAATCCACTTGTGGCCACTTGTGCTCTCTTTTTTGCTTTTTATGGATTCCTGTGGAATTGGGAATGGCCACTTGGGTAAGCATCCTCAAAGATCTTTGGAGAAGCTTAGAAGAGACAGGAAGGGTGGTCTCTGCCTCTGAGCACCATTTAGCCCTGGAGTCATGTGGGGAGGAGCATGTCTGGCTAGGCCTAGGGTCACCTGGTGACAGTTCTGAAAAAGTTCAACTCAGAGTACCGACTTCAGAGTTTGTTGATTATGTTCTTTTTGTTGCTGATGATATATATATCCTCTAATGTTTTATATATATAGATTATATATATATATCTAATTTTGATATGATTAACATGATTATGTTCTTTTTGTTGCTGATATATATATCTAGTGTTTATTTTATTTTTGAGAGATAGATAGAGTGGGAACAGGGGAGGGGCAGAGAGAGGGAGACGCAGATTCTGAAGCAGGCTCCAGGTTCTGAGCTGTCAGCACAGAACTTGACACGGGCTCGAACCCACGAACCGCGAGATCACGACCTGAGCGGAACTCGGATGCTTAACCGACAGAGCCACACAGACGCCTCTGTTGTTGCTGACATTAACCACTTTATGTTCTTTCTTGATGAGAGCCGGTGGGACAATAGTTGTGTTGGGCATGAATCAGGCACTTTTGATTTCTTACCTGTCCAAAGCACACTATGAGATCTCAGGTTTTGATGAGAATAGTGTAGGCAATACTTTGCCTGGGATGGTCTCTTTTCAAAATGTTAGTCCAACCTTCAGCACGTCCAGAGGTTAGATGAGGAACAACAACAAGCTGGGCTGGGATGGAGGCAGGTGTGGTAATGGAGGGCCATTCAGTACATCTGTGTGATTCAGCATCAAGTTGAGGTTCTGTTTTTTCCCACGATTTGGGCTTCCTCGGGATCATTTGCCATAAACACGTTGAAATTCCCAATAGGCAGGACGAGGAGGATTTGGAGTCCCCCTCGTAGGCAGAATACACGTAGGTACTCTGTTTGACCAGCAGAGGGAGCAGGTCAACAAATGTCCCGGGCTTGTGCTCTCCCTGAAGCCTCTAACTGAAGGATGTGGGCTATGAGTTCTGTGAAATGAAGCAGCAAGGATTGTTTGTAACTGCTTTGGCCCAGTGAGACACAAATTGAGCTCTGCAAGGCTGGTCTGATGTTAGTAAGATGATGTGGGGGGGCTACTAGCATTATAGGATAGGGTTGCAGTGCACGTCTTGGTGTTTGGGGTACACATTGCATGCAACAGAGCAGTTCAGGACTGGGAACAGCACTGGTGTTTTCAATGTACAATCACACCGACCCCTAGTTTCTTTTAAATGCTTTTTTTTGAAAGCTTATTTTGAGACAGAGAGAGAACTCAAGTGGGGAGGGGCAGAAAGAGAGTTGGCGAGAGAATCATAAGCAGGTTCTGCAGTGTAAGCACAGAGCCTGACGCGGAACTCAACTCAAAAACTGACATCGTGACCTGAGCCCAAATCAAGAATAGGACGCTTAGGCGACTGATCCACTCAGCAGCCTCGTCCCCGCCCCCCGGCCAGTTTTTTATACGTGGTGGCAATTCCCTGTCATGGAAGGTCAGGATTAGAGGTATAAGCGCAAAACGGAAGTTGGCACGACAGAGAGCATGCGCTGTGGGGAACCAGACATCACCTGTCTTTCAGTGCTAATCAGCATCCCGGGACAGGAGTTTCATCCCCTCCCTTCGGCGGCCTCATTAGTTCATGCAGGCCCTGGAGACTTGGGGAATATATGGGTATTTAGCCCCAATGGAAGGCACATATCAACAAATCAACATAACTAGAAAGTGCTTACTTTTGCCACATTATTCTCTAAACATGTACATTAAATTCCCTTAATAAAAGGCTAAATAGTTAATCTCAGCTGTCATTTGTCATGCTCACGAAGGAGGGAAGGACATGTACAAAAGCACCAATATTGGAACGTCCACTGTGCGTGTCAACACTGAGATGGGGCCCACACCAGGGACCTGTGGGTCATTTGGTCTCAGCACATAACACAAATACAGGGCGCACCCTCCATTTGGAGAATCCTACTTTCTCCCATTTGGAGTGTCATGTTCACTGTGCTTCTGGCTATAGGGTGTGTCAGAGGCTGTGTACCAGTTCTGTTTTCTACTTTCTCTAACCTCCTTTTCAGTCTGTGAACATGATCCCCAGGAATAAGCCTGGGAGAGATACAGGCTGCAGACGGGTGTTGATGATGGCTTTCTCTTTCAGGTGTCTGCAGATAAGCTAGTGGCCCTGGGGCTGTTCAGCCAGCACTTTAACCTGGCGACCTTCAATAAGCTGGTGTCTTACAGGAAGGCCATGTACCATGCTCTGGAGGTAACATGGTAGTGGGTGGTGGGGGTCTGGACCCAAGAGCAGAGTTAAAGCAAGTGACGTACAGAAAGCCAGCTCAGGCCACAGCATAGCCAGTGCTAGCGTGGAGGGGACACATGAAGTGCGTGCAAATATGACAGTAGCCTGATGATTGAGAAGAAAAGGAAGGGATTTGAGACTTCCATGCCTTCCCGGCTCTATGCCCCCTTCTCCGTGTACTGCTAGAGGGGGGAAGAGCACTGGGAGGTGGGAGACCATATTCCTATCTGTCGAGCTTTTCCAGAGCCTCAAAAGCTGCTGGAGAGCAGCTGAGGCCTCTTCGCCTTGTCTGTGGGGGATCCATCAGGCTGTCATTCCCTTTACCTTGACGTGGAAAGAAAATGGCCAGTGGCCTTGGTCCAGCATTTGTGAGCCAGGCTTTGTGCTTATATGACCTGTAAAACATCATAGTGCTTCTGTAATAGGACTTAACACTTGATGTCTCCCCAGCTTCATTGGGGAAAAAAAACACAAGAAATCTGGAGATTTCTTAGAGGCAATGAGACTGTGCTGTGGCTGATGCCTCTCCTATATCTAAAAGTGACAGAGCTAATTCTGATCCTCTGGCCTCTGAGAGGGAGCTGACCACTCAAAGCCCAATGGGGAAGAGATGCTCTTTGGTGCCTGCATGGAGAGACTTCATTCTCTGCATGGCCTCCTGCCTGTCTCCGTACACAGGCACCCCCCCCCCCCCCCCAAACCCCAGTCACATACCATAGCCCAGGACAGCTGCTAGGCTATGAAAGGGGCCAGTGTGAACAGGAATGCAGGCCCCTGCTGGGTGAATCCCTGGGTGTGGCCTGGCAAGCATCCACCCCTCCTGTTCATCCCGCCTCTTTATCTCCACAGAAAGCCAGGGTGCGGGCTGGCAAAACCTTCCCCAGCAATCCTGGTGACTCCTTGGAGGACCAGCTGAAGCCCATGTTGGAGTGGGCCCACGGGGGTTTTAAGCCCACCGGGATCGAGGGCCTCAAACCCAACAACAAGCAACCAGGTGGGATTGGGTCCCTGGGCAGCACCCACCATTAGCTGCTGGTGGGGACAGTCTTGGGAAATGCAGTCACCCCTTGCTGCCACCTACCCTACCCCGGCTTCCCAGCAAGCTGGCAGCCCTGGAGCGCTTTCACCCTGTGAACCAACCTCCAGGGAAGCTGGAAAAGTGAATAGGCCAGCCTTTTCCAGCTTCCCTGGTTACCCTTCTTGCTAAAGGTCAAGTATGCGTAATTGGGATTGAGTCTGTTGCAGAAACTTGGGTAAATAGAAGGCCGAGACGGAATTGTCACTGATGCCCTTTTATAAATTTCTCTTACAAGTTTTCTCATATTTATTTTGAGACAGAGAGAGCACACTTGCGAGAGTGAGAGGGGCAGAGAGAGAGGGAGAGAGAATCCCGAGCAGGCTCTGCTCTGTCGGCAGCACAGAGCCCCATTTGGGGCTTCATGTCACAAACTGAGATCATGACCTGAGCTGATACCAAAACGGGTGTTTAACTATTTGAGCCACCTAGCTGCCCCATTAGTGCCCTTTTGTTTAAAAAGGAAAACAATAATTAAGCTATGCTTACTGGAGAAAACTTGGGAAGACTTAACCCTTCCCCAAACCCCACAGGCCACCTCCATTCAGAAAGCAGCATCATCCATGCTAAAGGTTTGACCAGCACCGTATTTCCTCTCTAGGTGTGGTTTCACATTGTCACTCCCAGGAATCCCAGATGTCTGAAATCCAGGATTTTATTTGTCTTAACAATCCATACGTTTAACATAGTATTTTCTGTTTTGTTTTGTTTCCCTCTCCCCACAAATAAGTGGTTAATAAGTCGAAGGTGCGTCGTGCAGGCAGTGGGAAGTTAGAATCGAGGAAACACGGTACTCCCTTCCCGTATTTTGACTATGCACTGTTTTCTCTGCACTTCCTTTCAATTTCTTGCATATACAGTGGTCACTGGGAACAAATCCAATCTGTTAAAAAGTCAACCTGAGCTCACACCTACCCCTTCGCTCCTATCCCTCACAACTGCCCTCCAGGTTAACGTTGTTGGGTGTGCACACCCTCCCAGACTTTTCTATACACTAGTTGGATTCCTGCTTTCCCTTAATTTCTCAACTCTAATGGTATGTGCACCGTCAAATGTAATTTTGTCACTAAAGGGTTCTTACGATTTCTGATGACTATAATTTTCCTTTACCATGCTCCTTATAGATATTTACAGGTTGAATAAAAATATAAAAGGAATGTATAGAAACAGAAACAATGGCCATAGAATATAATTTAAATTTGTTCTGGTAGCAACGTTGGAGAGAATACAGGAAACAGGTGAAATTAATATAAATCATGTACTTAATCTAATATTTCCAACATTTTGGCATTTCTAAGTCAATATAAAATATGAGTTTGGACTTTTCTAAATCTATATTTTTACATGTCTTATGATATCTCAATTTGTGTGCTGAATTTTTCATTAGAAATAAGTGATATATTTTTTAGAGATGTCCGAGTTCCAAATGAGCTGTTTGGTTGGCTTAATTGGGCAGGTTTTTTTTTTTTTTTTTAAGTTACTTATGTAAGTATCCTCACCCCGTGTGGGACTTGATTCCATGACCCTGAGATCAAGAATGCCCTTCCTACTGAGCCAGCCAGGCTCCTTCAATGGGCAGTTGTTAAATTTACATCAAAATTAAGTGTAACATGCATTTGCTGAGTCAGCACAAGTCACATCTCAAGTGCTCAGTCACTACCTGTGGCTGTCAGCCAGCGTGCTGCACATCAGAGGCCAGGCTTTGTCTGATGTTCCCGGTGCTGGGTCTATGGAGATGTATTCTCTTATACTCCTGGCTGTTTAAACCCCTGTAAATAAATACAGAGTGAGGGATTTTTAATTCCTCTGACTTGTCCATAGAGGGGCGGTCGGGCACGCAGTGTGGACCCATGTCATGGCCCAGGTGCGGCTGGCACCCAGGCATGGTCCTGTCCTGGGGTCACGGTTTCCCCGCACCCCCCTTCGCCCCCACACCCCAGCCACGGCTGCCATCTCCTCACCTTTCCCAGAGAACAAGACCCGAAGACGCACAGCCGATGACTCGGCCACCTCGGACTACTGCCCCCCACCCAAGCGCCTCAAGACAAACTGCTATAACAATGGGAAAGACCGAGGAGAGGAGGACCAGAGTCGAGGTGACTGTGGGGCAGTGAGGAGGCCGGCGGCCTGAGCTCACCCACTGTGGGGGGGTGGGGGGGGTGGGGACAGTACGGAGGGCCGTTCAGCAAGCGAGTGTGGCTTAGCTGATGAGTAACAGGCCACCTGACGCCATGTCCCATCTGCTCTTTTCTCAACAGAACAAATGGCTTTGGATGTTAGCAACAACAAGGGTAGCCTGGAAGGTAATGTACTCTCCTCCTTCTTGCCCTGAGTAGTGCTAGGATGTACCCTGGCCTGTTTATCTGCCCTGTGGGAGTTTAACCCAGTGCTCTGTGCCTTGACCTTGGGCTGGGGTGCGGACATCTTAGTTGCTACATTTAATGCAGTGAATTGTCTGACTTTCACAGAGACTGATCCTACCCCCTGGAGTATGTAGGGAGGGGAGGGTTGGCCGTTTGTCCTCAGGGAACTCCAAACGAAACCATGACCTATGACATCTTTAGTCTTTCTCAGCGAAGAGCCAGAATGGGATTTGAGGTAAAAGGCAGGCAGACTTCACCACCATCACTCTCTCAGGCTAACTCTGGTCCATTTATCCTGGCTGGGAACGAGCCCCTGGAATTGCCCAGAATGTATCTGAAGGAATTCAGAATGTGTGAGGATGGATGGACTCTCTCTTGCTTCCTCAGCCTGATGTCCGTTAGTCAGCAAATAACTTTTTGAGTGGTTCCCTCAGTGCTGGGTAGGAAAACAACCGCTCCTGACCCACAGCGCTCTGGGGAGAGCTCAGGTTTGGAGCAGTCCCTGACAGTCCCGGAAACCTTGACCCGTCATCCTCCTATCCCCCAACACTCTGTCCCCCATCTGTGCTTCCTGGCTGGGGATGGTTGGTCTCAGGCACTTTAATGACCCTGCCCACATGGTCAGTGATGTGGGCCATTCCTGACCTGCTGAAAGGAGAGGAAGGCAGAATATCCTAATGGGAAGGGACCAATGTCCTGAAATCATGACCAGATGACAAGCAATGGGCATTTTTTTTTTTTAAAGATTATTCATTTTGAGAGAGAGAGAGAGAGAGAGAGAGAGAGAGAGAGAGCAGAGAGCGTGCACAACTGGGAGAGGGGATCAGAGGGGAGAGGGAGAATCCCAAGCAGACTCCATGCTGTCGGTGCCCAGCCTGACCCCAACGCAGGGTCGATCTCACAAACCATGAGATCATGACCTAAGCCCAAATCAAAAGATACTTAACCGATTGAGCCACCCAAGAGCCCCTCACGTTCCTCTTTAAAGAGTCTCGGGAGTTTTCAGGCCAGGCCCTCCCAAGAACATCCCACTGCTAGAGTGGCCCCTGCTCGGTGTCCTGCCTCAGGTCTTCCATTTGGGCCTTGCCTCTGCCCGCCTCATGGGACTTACTGCCTGGGGCTATGGTTCTGGCCTCTCCCCATCTCTGGAATGGGGACTGTGGGCGCTGCGACTTTGAAGTGTTGCCGAAAGGAACAAAGCGTGAGGAGTTACTTAGCCAACATGGAGTACGTAACAAGAGCGGTTAGACTCCAGGCTTCCACTGTGCTGTTGTGACCCTACTTGCCAAAAGCTGCATCCCTGTCTTTCTTACAGATAGCTGTCTGTCCTGCGGTAGGAAAAACCCTGTGTCCTTTCACCCTCTCTTTGAGGGTGGGCTCTGCCAGACATGCCGGGTAAGTCCTAACCTGGGGCTTTCCTGCCCCTTCCCCACTGCACTTCCCTGTACTGGCCCAGAGGAAAGCACCCACGTGTTGGCAATAGAGAAGCCTCTGGTGCAACCCCTGCTCTGAGCGTTAGGTGCTGCAGAGGGAGGCCATCCTGCAGCGGCACGCAGACCCCTGCCGGGGTCCCTGGACAGGACACCAAGCCACCCGTCATCTGTTCTGTGGCTGCGTCCTAGGGCCTCAGCCAGGGAGCCAGCGGGACCTGGTGGTCCCTGATCTCTGAATTCATGGGCGTTTATCTCTGGCTGCCAGGACCGGTTCCTCGAGCTGTTCTACATGTACGACGATGATGGCTATCAGTCCTACTGCACTGTGTGCTGTGAGGGCCGCGAGCTGCTTCTGTGCAGCAACACGAGCTGCTGCCGGTGAGCATGGGCCATGGGCCATGGGCTGTGGGGCCTGGTCTGTGGCCCTGAGGGATCCGAGGCCATGGTGCTGGGCCCAAGCCGGTATCCCACAGGGCCATGGTCATCGTGTCCTGGAAGTAGCACTGGGGTGTAGGGATGGGCTTTAGAAACAGATCTGTGAGGGGGCGCCTGGGTGGCTCAGTCAGTTGGGCGTCTATCTTTGGGTCAGGTCATGATCCCACAGCTCGCGAGTTCAAGCCCCGTGTAGTCAGCCTGCTTTGGATTCTGGGTCTCCCTCTCTCTGCCCCTCCCCCACCCCCATTCATGTGCTGTCTCTTCCTCAAATATAAATAAACCTTAAAAAGAAAAGAAACATAGGTCTGTGAGGGTGGGCGTGGCCCCCTGGAGATGGGCCATTTCTGGTGGGGAGATTTTCTGTGCAAAGAACCTGTGGGCTTAGGTTGCGTGGGCATCCAAGGAAGAGGTTAGCCCAGCCCAGATCATGACCCCGTGCCTTCTAACCCTTGGGGAGGCACAACTGGGGCCCCAGGAAGGTTTCAGGCAGTCCATTGCCCTCTAGGGAAGGTGGGGGTATGTAGGAGGGCTGCCCGGTGGCTAAGGCGGCCCCCCTCCTTGGCTACCTGGCACAGGTGCTTCTGTGTGGAGTGCCTGGAGGTGCTGGTGGGCACAGGCACGGCAGCAGATGCGAAGCTGCAGGAGCCCTGGAGCTGCTACATGTGCCTCCCACAGCGCTGTCACGGCGTCCTGCGGCGCCGGAAGGACTGGAACATGCGCCTGCAGGCCTTCTTCACCAGCGACACGGGGCTCGAATACGTAAGCCACAGGCTTCTTCCCCCAGCACCAACCCACCCCAAGCGCACTCTGGAAGTCTGTCGGCAAGAGTTAATGGAAAAGATGCATTGTCCGGACGAGCGTTTGAGAGCCTCAGACCACATCCTCTGCACAGTTCTCGAGCTTCTCTAAGGCTCTCTCTCCCCTCCTCCATGGCCTCTCATTGATTGAAGGAATGGTTATAGAACTAACCAAGCCTTAGCCTTAGTGGAACTGAAGAGGGAAGGGAAGCCTGTGACTTACTCTTAAGTCTTAGTGGAACTGGGCTCCTTTCTGCAGTCCATGGAGGGAGGCTCCAGGTCATTCCTGGATAGGGTAACGTGTCTCTGTGTGTGTGTGTATCTGTACCAAAGTCGCATCTGTGTTCATGTCTAAGGGTAGAGTGGCCATTCTGTGCCAGAGCTCCCGAGGGGATCCCAGCTAAGAAGCTGCAGACAGAGCACAGGGCTTGTGACTCTCAGAGGAAGGTCAGCCCTCCCCTCCACCAGAGGTTGAGTCTTCCCCCTGCACCTTGACCTCCATGACCTCCTTCTTTAACCTGGCAGGAAGCCCCCAAGTTATACCCTGCGATTCCCGCAGCCCGAAGGCGGCCCATTCGAGTCTTATCCCTGTTTGATGGAATTGCAACAGGTGAGTTTGGAGTTCACCTAGGGATGCTCACCTGCTCCAGGTGTCCCGTCATCAATGCTAAGAAAACCCCCTAGGATGACCTGTTGGTCACTTGTTCTCAGAAAGCCACTGACTCTTTGTTTCTCTCCTCAAACCTCTCCCACCATTTCACCTACCCTGGCCCTCCTTTGGGCCTTTCAAAGACAAGTATATCTTAGCTGTGTTGTATTTTGTATTATGCACAAGTATCTTGGACAGTGGTTTTCCATTCCATAAGCATAGATCTGTTGGAGGTGAATTAGGCAGTTCTGAGTATCTGTAGTCTTGGTTCCCTTCCACATCCCCAGGTTGCCCAAGTATAGAATGAGCACAAGCCAACGTGCGTGTTGGTCCTGGAAAGTTGGCCCAATTTAACTCATTTAATCCTCAAAGCCACCCTGTGATGCATTGTTAGGAACATCTCCATATTACCAGAGCAGGAAGAAGTAGAAATGAGCTGCTGTGCAGTTCGCATCATTTGTACTTCATGTGTGTACATTGGTGTCCAGATTCCCAACTCAGCGACAGCTTTTAATGACTGGGTCCAGTCATTACTGGTAGCTTTTCTCCACTCTGTTGGGCCTTATAAAGACTTGTTTGTGTCGGCACAGATAACCCATAGTAGGACTAAGCTTTGGCCATGCCACCAGACCTTAAGAGTTTTCTGAACATGGTTTTGGTGAGGATTCCTGTCCGTGTGTCTGTGTTTGACTGTGCTGGGTGGTAGGTGCTGGAGTCTTGGCTAGATCCTGCCGGTGGGCTACGCCAGTTATCCATACATTTTCTTCATGAAACTCCACAAACCAGAGAGCCTGGTGTGGCCAGTGTGTGGTTTCTGTGCCATCCGCCCGAGTTCTCGAGGACAGCCATGTCCTTGCTGGGTCTGGTCTGAGCTCTAGAGATGGCTTAGAATCAACTGCAGGGAGGGCCCCATGGAGGACAACCCTAATGCGGTTTCTGTCCCTGATGCCCTGTAGGGTACTTGGTCCTGAAAGAACTGGGCATCAAAGTGGAGAAGTACGTCGCCTCCGAAGTGTGTGAAGAATCCATCGCTGTTGGAACTGTCAAGCATGAGGGCAACATCAAATATGTGAATGACGTCAGGAACATCACAAAGAGAAACGTGAGGGCTGCCTGCACCCCTGCTGGGCTCTGCCCCACCCCCTCTTCCTCCTTCAGCACTGAGCCCCACAAGTCCTTATGGCTATGTGGTCCCCTTCTCCATGCCCAGGGCTATGGTAGAAGAGAGAACGTGGGTTTACGTCAAGCTCTAGTACCAAGATCCACAGGTTGGAAATTATTCATAAAGATTTAGATCTTAGCGTGTCTGGAGCATTAGGTCTTCCTGGGTCATTAATGGAGTTGGGGGAAATAAATGACCAAACAAGATTCTAGTAGTGGGTTTGTTCTTTCTTTCTTTCTTTCTTTCTTTCTTTCTTTCTTTCTTTCTTTCTTTCTTTTTCTTTCTTTCTTTCTTTCTTTCTTTCTTTCTTTCTGGCTCCACACCCTTTGTGGGGCTTGAACCCACAGGCCTGAGATCAAGAATCGCATATTCCACTGACTGAACCAGCCTGGTGCCCCTAGAAGTGGGTTTTCTCAGGGCACTTGGGTGATGCTGTCAGTTAAGCATCTGACTCTTGAAGTGGCTCACATCATGATCTCATGGTTTATGAGTTCGAGTCCCAAATCAGGTCTGTGCTGACAGCAGGGAATCTGCTTAGAATTCTGTCTTTATTTCTTTCTCTCTGCCCTTTCCTGTCTTTCTCAAAATAAATAAACTTAAAAAAAATGGGTTTTCTTGATAGTTGCTTGGAACCTAGGCTGCATCCTTCCATCATCACCTCCATCCCTCCCCTAAGAGTGTTTTTCTTTCACAGATTGAAGAATGGGGCCCCTTTGACTTGGTGATTGGTGGAAGCCCATGCAATGATCTCTCAAATGTGAACCCAGCCAGGAAAGGCCTGTACGGTGAGTATCCCAGCTGACCCTATGTCACCTGAGTGCTGGTCCAGGAGGAGTGGTCTAAGAAAGAACTATTTGTTTCTGGCCAACCTTACCTCTTGGCTCTTTCCTTGTCCATAGTAAATCCTGTCCCCCAGAGATACCAGTAAATACTGCACTGCTGATGCCCATGTCCTTAGTCATTCCAAAAGACTGCAGGTAGAAAGACTGTAGGGTATCAGCTGTAGTCAGGTGATCCCTGGGGAACCCACTGGTCTCACTATGGAGGGGTGGGCTGAAGGATTTGAACCTGGCTCTGCTATCTTGTTTTGTGGGCTCAGAGGGCACCGGCCGGCTCTTCTTTGAGTTCTACCACCTGCTGAATTACACACGCCCCAAGGAGGGTGACGACCGGCCCTTCTTCTGGATGTTTGAGAATGTGGTAGCCATGAAGGTCGGTGACAAGAGGGATATCTCTCGTTTCCTAGAGGTAAGGGACCTGGGGTCCTGAGTATCCAGAGTGCATGGGTGGGTGAGTCCTGCTGGCATTGGGGGTGGTTGGGTGTTTCCGCTTTGGGGAATGACTTTGGGTTCTAGATGGAGGACATGGCTAAATCCAAAAATCTAAAACTAATGGAGTCAGGTGGGTTGATTCTTTTTAGTACATGGAAGACAACTTGATCTCGACCTCACCCTGAATCCCCCTGAAGTCTGATGATGAAATCCTCATCTCCCTACTTTTGGAAGCCTCAGGGGATTTGACTAAACTTTGTTTTTCACTCTGGGGTCATTTTTCTCCTCCCTGTTCTGAGAACTGCTGTTTTAAGGGGCTGCCAGCAGTTCATTGACACAATATCATCAAGCATTATAGTAAATGCTTTTTATGCATTTAATTCCTTTCCTCCAAAACTTTATAGCCTGTAGTCAGCTAGAGAGGTTATTGAACTGGCTCCTTAGTTCCCTCATGGTGTGTGAACCTGGCAGAGGGCCGATGGAAGCCATATTTTGCCAACTATATTCCTGCACCCACCTTCCAACTTGACAGATTTCAATTTTGAGCTACTTTTACTCCCTGTACATATAGCACATTCTGTAATTATCTGGCTTGTCCGAGGGTATATCCTCTCTTAGAACCTGCAGGTCCGGTCGGGTGTCTCTTGCCACCATTAATATCTGGGCACTTCTGTCTTCCAGCCAGATTGTCACCATTTTTTTTAAAGTTTATTTATCTTGAGAGAGAGAGAGCACAAGCAGGGGAGGGACGGAGAGGGGGAGAGAAGGAATCCCAAGCAGACTCCATGCTATCAGCATGGAGCCTGATGCGGGGCTCGATCCCACAACTGTGAGATCAAGACCTGAGCTGAAATCAAGAGTCGGACTTTTAATAGACTGAACCACCCAGGCGCACCCAGCTAGATTCTTGATGGGAATTGGTCTTTCCTCTTGCTGAGGGGAACCATGCCTCTTCTGTAGCAGAGGCTGCCCTGTCACCTGCCCCGGTCAAGCCCCACCCTGGCTTACACCTGAATACTGACATGAGCTCCCAGCTGCTGCCCTTCTCTCTGCAGTGTAACCCAGTGATGATCGATGCCATCAAAGTGTCTGCTGCTCACAGGGCCCGCTACTTCTGGGGCAACCTGCCTGGAATGAACAGGTAACAAGGGGCTCATGCTGGGTCAGGTAACGGCCGAGTTAATTGTAACTAATGGTGTGAGCCCTAACTGTGAAGTCTTGTGACCCAGAGAATCATTCAAACCTTCTAGAAAGCACTAAATCTGCTGAGAAATGGCCCCAGCTGGGATTCAGACTGGTGTTGTGGTTGATGCCTGTCGGGAAGTACAGCAACTACATGGAAATCGGAGGCCAGGATTCCTTAGTCTTCTCTGACTTGTTACCACTCTGCCTATGGGGCAGGTTCTTAAAAGTGCCTGGAGCTGGGATAGAGCAGAGTGCTAATGCCCCACCTGTTCTCCCAGTTGGTATCCAATTGGGAAATAAAAGTAAATTGTTAGATGAAGTGATCCCTGGATGAGGCCTGTGGTGACCAGCCAGGTGGCAGAACCGTGCTAACCTGTCTCCCTTGGATTTTCTTAATCAAGAGTTTTCACAACTTTTTATCAATCTTTTCATGTTCAAAGCCACAAAGTAAACGGCATTGCTGAGGATTCGTTATCTCCTATATGTGGTTTCCAGGAGAACAACCTGCTGATTAAGATACACAATGTGATGTTTAATGTGACATCCCAGACTTGCAAATGAGTTGGGCTTAAAGAAATTTCTCCTTTAGAAAGAAGGACTGAAAGCATAATAACTTTCAGGCATTTAGCAAAGTGTGAACAGAGGGGAGAAGGTGCTGGAATAGCTTGTAGGATTTCTGTTGGGTAGGCTGTGTTTTTATTTGGCTGATCAGCCAGTGAAATGGAAAATGTCCATGTCTGGATGAAGTGGGCTTTTTCTTTCTTTTTTTTTTTTTTTTTTAACGTTTATTTATTTTTGAGACAGAGACAGACAGAGCATGAACGGGGGAGGGTCAGAGAGAGAGAGGGAGACACAGAATCTGAAACAGGCTCCAGGCTCCGAGCTGGAGCACAGAGCACGGAGCTCCGAGCTGGAGCACAGAGCCCGACGCGGGGCTTGAACTCACGAACCGCGAGATCATGACCTGAGCCGAAGTCGGACACTTAACCGACTGAGCCACCCAGGCGCCCCTGAAGTGGGCTCTTTCACTCAACACTTGAGCCCTCTGTGCCAGCCACTGCTGTATGTGCTGCCAGCTTAGTGGTATGCACATTAGATGTCAGTCGCAGCTCTTATGGAGTTGACATGCTCATGGCAGATGGGTAGAGAAGACAGTAAATAATTTTGCAGTCATGGGTGGAGGTGGGGGCATCGTAGGAACCAGTGGGGACGCTTCTCCTTCCGGCAGGGTGTTAAATGAAAGAATAGAGCCACGCGGCTATTAGAGGGAAAGACAAACATTCCGGGAAGAAGGAATAGGGGAAGGGGCGATGTTGAAGAATGCATTGGAAGACCGGCTCAAGAACTGTTCCAGGGGCCAGAGTGGCTGGGGCAGTAAGGCAAAGGACTCAGAAGTATGGGCCAAGTTATGTGGCCCTTCTGGGTCATCGCATAGAAATTCGTGAACCGTTTTAAGCAGGTGAGAGTTGGATCTCATGTTCATGGTACTTGCTCATAGAAGGATAGACAATAGGATGAGGGCAGCAATGGGGAGACCAGTGAGGGTGGGTGTTCAGAGGAGGGCCCCAGGAGGCACCACCCATACATACTCAACACAATGCGAGTATGGCTCTGGGTGGGGGGTGGTGGTGGAGTCCTGTGGAATTCGGCAGGACGGATGGATCAGATTGTGGGTAATGTGAGGGTAGGACTAACAGAATTTGCCGACCCATTGGGCGTAGGGTATCAGATGAAAGGAGTCTGCAGTCTCCACAGCTTTCTGCCCAATTGTGAGAACTGAATGGCTACAGCTGTGCTGTGCAGGGCTGTAGGAGGGGTGACCCAGCCATCACCTGGTGATCACAGACCCAAACCCAGCCATTAGTCTACACACCTTGGTTGTGTAGAGTCCAAGCTGCCTTCACTCCCTTGGGTTCATGGAAGACTCAAGATTCGGGTAGGCAGGCATTTTGAAGCTTGGAAGGTGAGGTCAAGGGAATCTCTGACAGAATCTAGGGGAATGTTTTGTGTGATTCAGAGGCCCCTCCTATGGGCACCATATTCATTCTTACATCTGATTGCCTTTTGGCCTTGAAGTTCCTAACACAGGGGTTGCTGTGGTGTTCGTGAACTCTGTGCATTCAGACCTTCTGTTGGTTTTCTGCTCTGGAACTGCTGAACCCCTTGGTTCCTCAATTTCTAGCCCTTCCCCTTCTCAGACATCTGTCTGCCTTTCTCCATTTGCAGGTTTCAATGGTAAAAGTTAAAAGAGTGATTGGTAGTATTGTGAACCCACCTCCTGTCTCTCTTACTTGTACTTCCTTTTAGCCATGAAAGCTTCTGGAGGCCCCATCCACCCCCTAGTGTAAGCCACCAAATCATGGGTTTGATGTGCTAGTTGTAACGAGTAGACCCACAAAGACCTAACCCAAGTTCCTGATGAAGCCCAGAGAGGGGGCCTAACTTGCTCAAGGTCACTCAGCCAGTGAACAGTTGGGGCTGGACTGGAAGGGTTTCCTGACCTTTTCCAGTGTGCTTTCCCTCATCCTGCTCTCAGGGAAGAGAGCTCTGCCTAATATTAAAATTTGGAAACGGGGAGCATTTGCTCTGGGACATTGGGCTGCCTCTTCAAGGGGCTAGTCTGTCCATAGCTTTGTTGCAGAGTCATGTGCTCTTGCGAGGCTCATTTTTTTTTATCAGGAATTTGTAGCAAGTTCACTGCCAGAGCTCACTTTGCAGTCTTTGGCCCTCACTCCCACCTTGGGGAGCGCCTAGCCGAGGCCCCTTTGTAGTTGGTAGAAAGTAATGGGTTTTGGATGTTCCCAGGCCCGTGATAGCATCAAAGAATGATAAACTCGAGCTGCAGGACTGCTTGGAGTTCAATAGGACAGCAAAGGTAAGACGTTCTAACAAATGGTCTCTGGAAACACACTTGGTGACCTCCAAGCGAGGACTTGACCGTGGTGTCCAGTTTGTTCCTGCCACCCCTCCCCTCCCGCCCCCCACATGACTCCCTGGTGCTGGGCCTCTTTCACCATGTCATTGCTCTCTCCCATCTTTAAGCACAACGGTAGGAGAGGTTCTTGATAAACAAATAATCACCATGAGAAAAGGCAACTAGACTTTCCAATTGTGAATAGAGACACAGATTATTTCACCTCATCCTCCTGGTAACAAACAAGTAATTCTACCTTTGCCAAAAAAAAAAAAAAAAAAAATGTCTGCTGTTAAGTCATAGTTAATTACAAGACCTCCATAAATGTAATGTTTATATCAAGCTAAGTTTCATTCCTTCAAAACCCAGTGGGCCATTCTCTACAATCTGGGTGGGTTTTTTTTTACTTTTGCTTAATCCTGCTTGGTCAATAACTCTGGTGTTTTCATGGCCCCCATGTGATCTCATTCATGGTCACTGTTTTGTTTATCTGCTGTTCTCTGTGAGGCTGGTCCTTCATGTTCATTAACTTCTTGGTGTTTGTGGGAAACACAATGTTCTTGCCCTTCCAGCTCTCCTTTTCTCATTCCCTCTGTGAGCCCATCCCTGCCCCCCTCTCTCCCACACCTGCCTTCCCTCCTGCATCTTCCCTAGGTGCTTTTGAGCCTTGACTTGACTCCAATCCTTCATTCTGTGCTCACTCCATGATGTCGTTTTGTTCTCCAGTTAAAGAAAGTACAGACAATAACCACCAAGTCGAACTCGATCAGACAGGGGAAAAACCAACTTTTCCCTGTTGTCATGAATGGCAAAGAAGATGTTTTGTGGTGCACTGAGCTAGAAAGGTGAGCAGGGCTGCACGTGAAGAGGGAAATCCCACAGGCAGAGAGAAAGGGGAAGAACACGTGGTTAAGGATGGCAGGACAAATGGCCAGGTGCTTGCCTTAATTCTGCACGGTCTCCCTGACCTATGTTCCTGGGGCTGGGAATAATACCTTTTCAGAGTTAGTGCTGATTTTCCTGGTAGAAATGACAGAAGGGTGGTGGTGGTGAGGAATCTGAACATGAGGTCATTAGATGGCACCATCTCTCTGTGTTCTGGCTGTGCTGCCCTGGCATTTACCTCCCCCAACATGTTGGGGTTCCAGAATGTATGAGGAACCAGCTAAAGAAAACCCCATTGACTTGCCATTGGTCTTTATGAGAAGATCCCTTCGGCCAAGTTGTTGGTTCTAAAGCTGATTCCTACTTAGCCACAGTCTGTCATCTTCTTCCATTTACTTGGCTAAGTTGGTAGTTAAAACTATTTTGATTCAAAAAACTAGCTCTTGGATTTCAATTCTCCTATTCTGGTTTCAATTTTTTTTTTCTTTTGTTTTCCCTTATTGTTCAAAATGTAGGAAGGGCTATGAATATTACTTTTTACATTTTTGGCTGTGTCTCAGGATTTGATAAGAGTACTTTTATTCCAGTTAGTTCGGTCCTACAGCTGGTTTTATTTCTAATTTGATTTAACAATAGTTTTCTTAGTTTTAAAGTTAAGTTCTGATTTGTAGAAAGAAACTGGTGGGTATTCTTGTCATTCATCTCGTGGGTTATTCTGTATTTTGAGACCTAAACCTAACATGCTCGGCTGGCTCTGTGATACGGGGGCTGGTGCAGATGGCTGTCGTTTATAGGCTAAACAAGACAGAAGCCTAAGGTGTTACATCTCTGGCAGGTTTCTTCAAACCCATTCAGCCATTGGCCCATTGGTGTGCACACTAAAGGGGTTAGTTTGTAAAGCCAGGAAAGACTGAGGTCCAGTGTATCTGTAGCTTCTCAACAGGCCTGGTAGAATCCCATAGAGGAAGCTCTTGGTATATTTGGTTGCCACCTGCGTTACGTCCAGCTTGGACCCTGATCTAACAACTGGCTTTGAAGAGAGAAAGAAAATGCAGGATAAGTCAATGTAGTCACGGTTAATTATTTGAGCACATGCTGATCCATTTCTGGAAGTGTCCTTATTTCTTATTAGGGAGATTGCCTAACTTTTCTCATCTTGTGGTTTGAAGGCAGATACATGTCTCTTTGCTTGCTGTCTGGCTTTCTTGGCATGCATTCACTCATCCATCCATTCATTTTATTCACTCATTCTTATGGGAAAGGTCCACTGAGCACCAGCTGTGCGCCAGGAGCACAGTGCTAAGGCTTGGGTATGCACAAAACAGACATCCTCATAGAGGAACCCTGCCCTCATGTGCTGAAGAACCGGTGGGCCTGACCTCTGGGGGTCAAGAGTGGGCTCGTGTGCAGGCCTGGTTGGCCTGATGGGATAAAGGGCAGAAAGAACAGTGCCATACTGTTCACGTTTAAGATCTTCCAGAGGTGCTAAGCGTGGTGGAGGGGGGCGCTTCTGACTCCCTGTCTTTGTACTCTGGTGCCTCCCGCCAGGATCTTCGGCTTTCCTGTACACTACACGGATGTGTCCAACATGGGCCGGGGTGCCCGCCAGAAGCTGCTTGGGAGGTCCTGGAGTGTGCCTGTCATCCGACACCTCTTCGCCCCCCTGAAGGACTACTTTGCCTGTGAATAGCCCCCAGGCACCCTGAGCCCAGGAGCACTGGGGCATGTGGGGCAGAGCCAGGACCCAGGAGGTACAGCCTCAGCTCTGCCCTTCCTCTGCTCCGCGTTGTGGGGTTGCGCCACCTATCCTTGGCAGGAGCAGAGCCGTGCGACCCCCTCCTGGCAGGGAAAGCCTGAGGTGCTGCCTCCTTGTGCACAATTCAGACCTGGCTGCTAGGAGTGGCCAAACACGGTGCTCGTTTTGTCTTCTAAAATTTTTAAAACTTGAAGTAGGTAGTAAGATGGGTTTTTTTTTTTTTCCCCTCCCGGGTTTACCGCTCAGAGAAACAATGGCTAAGATACCAAAACCACAGTGCCAACAGCCCTCCAATACTCAGGTTAATGCTGAAAAATCACCCAAGACAGTTATCCCAAGACTATGATTTTTAAAAAACATCTGCGGCTCCTTGTTTCCCAGGACTGCAGTGGTAGACATGTAGCTAAGGGACATTTTAAGGGCCCTGGGTGTTTTTCTTCCTAGGGCTAGCAGAAGAGGAGATGATGTCTATGTCGTTCTTGAATTTTCCCTAGCACATTCCCCTGGCCTCAGTATAAAGGGCTGGGACCCGCTGTCAGGGCCCGTGTAGAGTATTTTCTGTAATGATGATGATTTCAGCAGGGATGACCTCATCATCACATTCAGGGCTATTTTCCCCCCAACAGACCCACAGGGAGGACCACCCTTAGCGATATCCCTCCCAGTGACTGCAATAGAACCCTCCGGGGAGCTCAGGAAGGGGTGGGCTGGGTATAAATTGCCATATGTTATGCGGACAGGTATGGCTTCTCGCTATCTCCCTCTTCCCCACTAGAAGGGAACAAAGGAGTAGGCTTAGGTAAGACATCCCTGCCCACCCCCAAAATGCACCCTTCCAGACTACTCTGCAGGCACAGGTCTCCACATTAGAAGTAGGATACCCCAATTCCTCAGCCTTTTTCTAAACTGAGAAGCAATGACAGCCGGGGCACAAGCACATTCCCTGCACTCTCCCCTCATCTAAGAGATTGCAGGGGGAAACTGCAATAAAAGCTCGACCCTCCTTCCAGAGATTTTAAAGTCCTTTTGTATTCCATGAGAAGTTGTTTTTAGGGGGAATGGGAGGTCGGGAAAGCTGCATTTCAGAAATGCTGTCGTAATGGTTTTTAACACCTTTTACTCTTCTTACTGGTGCTATTTTGTAGAATAAGGAACAACGTTGACAGGTTTTGTGGGAATTTTTTTATACACTTTTTTTTTTTAAATCACAGACTTCTATTTTTATGTTTTAACATTTTCATAAAAAGTTTTTTTTTTAACTGGAGCCACGTAACAAGTATGGGGGAAAATTGTGCCTTGTTTCAACAGTCTTGCTAATTTTTAGGCTGAAAAATGACAGATGCCTAGAGTTTACCTTATGTTGAATTAAAATCAGTATTTCTCTAACAGTCTGGTGTCCCTTCTTTTGCAGGTCAGATGGGTGGGACGTGGGAGGGCCTGATTCCAGTGGAATAGGTGGGAGTCGAAGTAGGCCCTTGGTTCACGCAGCAAGCACAGTGTAGAAGTGAGAGTGAATGCAAGCCGGGGAGAGTGGGAGAGAGAATCCTAAGCAGGCTCCACACTCAAGCCTGTTGCTGATGCCGGGCCCAGTCCCAGTACTCTGGGATCATGACCGGAGCCAAAGTCAACAGTCACACTCAATGGACTGAGCCACCAGAGCACCGCTCCAGGCTGTTTCTTATAGCTCTTGGGTAGCTGATCAAGATGATTAAGGACTCCAGAATCCCAAGGCTGCTCCTCCCAGTTCTCTACACCTTGGTTGGAATCCCTTGCACCCGGACGCACTACTCCCAAGTTGTCCTGTCCCTGTTCAGTCACAGGACTCACGGTAATGGCCCTAGGAATCTAACCTGTGGCCGCACCTCTTTGGGTAGAGTATCCCCGTTGCTCTGCAGGACTTACCCAGCGGGCCAGCCAGGTGTCCTAATACCCCAGCCCATCATGCCACAGTCCTATCACTAGATCTACTAGATCTAGCCTTTGGTCAGGGACTAGGAGCCAGTGAAAAATTTCAGTGCCTGTCCCAAGGTTCATCTCGGTCAGCTGATGCCTGCCGAGGGAAAAAGGTTTGTAAACGGCTGCACATGCAATGAGTCAATTGAACATCAGCTGCATGTGGCAACTATATGTCTCTTCCTGTAAAAAGTGTTCTAGTCCTGGCCACCTCCATGACTGTAGTTGTGGGCCTTATTAAGGCCACTGTTGGAATGGGGGATGAGAAACGTTTCGCAAGACACCATGGTGAGACGGTTGGCAATTAGCAAGCGAGCTGGCACTCCTGAGGTGTTGAGGTCCCAGGGGCCTCGGCTGCCCTATTAAGCCGGGTTGGTGTGCAGTGCTGCACCGAATACCAGGGCAGAATGAAACGAAATAAACAGCCCCGGCCTCGAATCCCCAAGAGAGGAGGTGGACTAGCCCTCCAGGTGAGGGGCTCTTGGGTGGCCTGGTCCATTTGTGGGGCAGGTTGGGGGTTGGCTTTGGAGGGGCTGTCGGAGCTGTTCTTTAAACGAGATGGGGGGCTAGGTTGGTGTCTCCATGATCCCTGGCCTGACGGCAAGGGGGAAAATGCGAGGAACATTCTGATCCGGGGGAAGGGGTTGGACCTCGTGTTACCTGTAGGCCTTTTCTGGAACAGTCTTCCAGTTGTCTGGAGCTCTATCCAGGAAGATAACATCTTTAGCAGGTAAGGAGCATAAATCCTGCCCACTTCCTAGGGCTGCTGTGAGTGTTCAAGGGCATGATCTGGGTAAAGAGCTTTGTCTGGTGCCTGGCATGTAGTAAGCCCTCGTGTGTACGGGATGGCTTTGTGATAACAAAAGCCACTAGTCAACGCAGTGTTAATGCCTGGGTGCTGGTAGTGATGGTGACATCCGATATTTATTCATGTATTAAAGTCTTAAGGAAGAGCAGGGCAATAATCCCCCCGGTGCTGGGCTGATGATGCAACAACCTCCTGTGTTCAAGTTGTGTTCATCACCACCCCCACCCCCCTACCCCTCGATCATGTTAGGGTCCCCTTGCTCCTTGTTAGGGAGAATTGATGGGGGTGGCTTTGGGATCTGGCACCCCAGAGTCCCGTGGAAGGGATCTTGCAGAAATATATTTTCTGATCCAGTATCCATTCTAGAACCACGCATTGCCCTTGTTTATTTTTGAAACTTGTGAAATATACAGAGCCATGCATAAATCCCAGTGTTTCAGGCCTTATAACCTAGTGTCCTCTCTGAGCCTTGGTTCATCCTGAGGTCTCAGCATCGCAGAAGGGAAACAGGTGGGCATCTGAGTCTTTGCACATGCTGTCCGGAACAGCCTGCTTGCCAAACTAGTCCTCCAGTTCTTACTCTCCCAGGAAGCCTTCTTTGCCCCGATTCAAGGCAGGATTAGAAGCCCTTTCCTGATCTGAGTCCTCCTTCCCTGTGGATAGATAGGAGAATTTATATTAGCACAAAGCACACTGTATTATAACTTAGTTTTGTAGTCTTCTCTCCCTTGAGCTTGTGAAGTGCCTAAAGCAGCCAAGACCTCCCAACACCAGTTTTTAGCTCAGGAAACTTGTCATACGTTTGGAAAGCTTAGGCCTTGAAGTCATACTTTTTGTTTTGTTTTTGGAGAGGGGACTCACATATTCTACCTGCAATAAAGAGATCACTCCCATGTTAAAATAATTGCTTAAAAACCCATGTTGAAGTCTTCAAAGCTATTTTTCCTGCTGGAGAGAAACTTGTTTTTCACTATTCTCTGCCCTTTTGCAGTCAAGGCTTAATCTGACCCAGATAATCTTGGCTAGCACCCTCCTGAGTAACATTCAGACTGGAAACTTTTAAAAGCTCAGAGGCTAGGGGCACTTGGGTGCCTCAGTCAGTTAAACATTCTACTCTTGTTTTCAGCTCATGATCTCACAGTTCGTGAGTTCGAGCCCCACATCAGGCTCTGCACTGACAGTGTAGAGCCTGCTTAGAATTTCTCTCTCTCTCTCTGCCCCTCCCTGGCTTGTTCTCTCTCTCAAAATAAACATTAAAAAAAATTAAAACAACAACAAAAAAACTCAGAGGCTAGGGGCGTCTGGCTGGCTCAGTTGGTAGAGCCTGGGACTTTTTAACTTGGGTCAAGAGTTTGAGCCCCTCTTTGGGCCTAGAGCTTACATACCTCAAATATATATATATATATATATATATATATATATATAT